GGGCGCTAATTTGGCTATGCTTTGGCGCCAGCTCACCCAGCGATTGCAATGTAATTTCCGATGCTGAACGCTCATATATTGAAACGTCACTGAGCAAGCAGGTGAAAAGTGAAGAGCACGAAATGCCCACTAAAGTGCCATGGTGCAAGATATTCACATCGCCACCATTTCTGGCATTGTTGGTAACTCATTGCGGCTATACGTGGGGCTTCTGGACTCTGCTCACTCAAATACCATCGTACATGAAGAGTGTGCTGGGCAAAGATATCAAAAGCAATGCATTGCTCTCCGCTCTGCCATACCTCTCAATGGTAATTTTGGGTTTCATCTGTTGTCCCTTCGTTGAGGCGTTGGAAAAATCGAAGCGCGTCAGCCGAACAGTCAGTAGGAAGGTCTTCAACACAATCGGTCAATGGATACCGGTGACCACTTTCATTTGGTTAGGCTATGTGAATGCCGATCAAAGTGATTTGGCTGTCGTTCTGTTGACCGTCACTGTGTCGATTACTGCAATCACACATTTCGGCTGGCAGGTGAATCATATTGACCTATCGCCACACTTTGCCGGCACGCTGGTGGGATTGACCAATAGTGCTGCCAATGTGATGAGTATTATTGCACCACTCGTGGTTGGTTATATCGTAACGGATCCGGTGGGTTTTCTTTTTTCTTAATAGAAATGAGTTTATTGGGAGATATTTATGTGTTTATTCTTTTATTTACTTCTCACAGACGAATTCAGTACAGTGGCGCATTATATTTTTCATTGCTGGTGGTTTCAATTTCTTTGCAAATCTACTTTTCATAATTTTTGGCACAGCAAAGGTGCAGCCATGGCATGATGAAGAGCTTAAGATACAGGAGTTGAAGCCACTCAATGAAAATTTGGCGGTGGTGACGCCAAGCAGCGAGGAAAAGGAAGAGCCAAAGGAGGGAAATGTGCTAAAAGAAACGGCATAAAGTTTAACCAATACATATACGTACTATTAATTGTAGCAATTAGTTATAAAAAATCAATACCAGATTGAATGAGCATTGCTCGAAGTGCATTTAATTTTTAAAGTTTTCAATGTTTGGGTATAAATTAATGTTCATTTGGAAAGCTTTAATTTATAACTATTTTGTTTGTAATTGTTTAACATTACGATATATATACTATGAATATGCACATAAGGCTTTAGATCTAAATCAATACTTCTTTCCATACAAAGTATGTCGATAGAAAAATATTATCAATGCCTTAACATTAGCTAGGCTCTAAGTACCTAATTTTTCAGTAATAGAAACCCAAGATAAAAAAATTTTGAAAAAAGTATGTTCATAAACAAAAAATATTGTCAATATTTAAGGCCACTAAAAACCTAAGAATTTCATAAAAAGTATAGTTTGGAAATAAATTTAAATAAATGATGCTTTTGATATGGAATATGTTACTATATTAAAAATTAGGTGGCAACTCTACATACACTAGAGTATATAGTACATACCTGGAGTGTATATGTACTGCAAAAAATGCTCATTCAAATTAACCCTCTACTGCATAAATTAGGAAGGCGATGAATAAAAAAATTTGCTGTGAAAACCACGTTATTTACGTATCAATAAACTTATAAAAAAATACTCCATATTTGTTTCAAAAGAAAAAAAACGTGGCAACACTCGTCGAAAATATTTTAGGATTAAAATTCTCAAAACTTTCCTAAAATTATATCCTTATTAAGTTATTTTAGTTAAAGTGTAGAATCGAAAAAATAAGTGGCAACCCTGCACACTAACATCCTAGATGATGACACTTAGTACATAGGAAAATAATCGTAATATTATACCTTTAACTTCTAAACAAACAATTTAATAAATACTTGATTCAAAACAAAGGGCAAGATAATTCAAAAATATTTATGAATTGAGGGTTTTTAAAATACTTTCCAGCAGAGGTCGAAAATAATCCTCTCCACTTTGAAAGTATCCCAAAATAACTGTTACTGTTTAAGAGAAAAAATAACCGACAAAACAGAACAGGCGGATTATTTTTTGTATTTTTTGATATGTGCTCCATTCAGCTTTCAGGAAGAGCTTTTTGCATATAATTTCCGTTGCTGTCGGTCTCGGACACTTATCTCTGGGAGAGAAAAAATAAGTGTTACAGCGCGGTTACCCACGAACGTGTACGTAGCGTACCGTAGAAATGCCTAGGAACATATCAAATTTGCTGTTGATAGAGAGAGACAGAGACAGAAGCAACGTCAACGTCACGGGCATGCGGCGGCAGGGTTGCGTGATTCTAAATCCTTTTTAAGTTGAAATCCGTTATCAATTAAGAAATATATTTGATTTGTGATTTGGTTTGTTGGCCAAATAAAAAATAAATTTTATTTGTGATTTAATTTATAATTTTTCAACTAAATAATACTTTTGTTATGCAATGCAAATAAGATATTCAAGTAGATATCTTCCAACTTCCAGTTCTACGAAAATCTTCGCGATTTTTGGGACTAATTCGGAATTTTCGAGACTTCTTCGGGATTTTCGGAATCTTCGGGACTACTTCGACATTTTTATACTATTTTGAGATTTTTGGACCATTTCATGATTTTCGAGACTAGTGTTGGGATTTTCGGGATCCTCGGGCCTAAATCGGGATCTTCGAGACATCTTCGAGATTTTCGGAATTTTCGGTATTTTCGGAATCTTCTGGACTACTTCGGGGTGGTGGACTATTTCGGGATTTACGAGACTACTTTGGGATTTTCGAGATTAATTCGAGAAATATCATCCACAGAGTCTGTTCTTTCAGCTTTGGAACAGGCAGCCCTAAGACTCCATTATGGGCAATGATCCACAGCAAGGGAGTGAAGACGCAACCTTGGGAAACACCTCTGATAACGGTATGTTCTTTTATGCCTATAGCAGTGCTGCAAGAAAAAACTCTTTTACATATATGACTATTTAGTACGCCTATCAAATACCCTGGGTGTTGATCGATTTCAGCGCACTAATAATACACGGCCAACCTAGTTAGAGTTGAATGCGTTTTTAACATCAAGGGTGAATGTCGCACACTCATCTTTTGCGCCGTTTTTCCAGCTTTTACCTTGTATTGCTTCTTCGGCTATGTTACTAACTCTGCGGATTGCGTCGTCTGTTCACCTACCTTTTCGAAAACTGTAGCTACTGGACACGAGACAAACAATCACAGAGGATGCGCTAGAATAACTTGCTTAAAGCGTAGACTATACAAAGTAAGGAGGGTGTCGAGACGTGAATGCTATAACTCCAGACTGACTCAGTTTGTTTTCACCTCTTACATGGAAAAGACAAAGCAGGGAGTCGCCTTTTCTAAATGCTTGTTTGGTATCGAACGACCCGGACGGAGCTGGTGATGTTGCTCAACTTTAATTTTACGTGGCATATATACAACTCATTTTTATGCGTATAAAGCAGCTTTAAAATCGAAGGAGAAATAGCTTATATCTGTATATTTCTCTCTCGCAGGTGTTTTCCATGATTTGGTGTATGGTGAATACCTGGTCTTTGGTGGAATTACCAGGTCTAAAGCCACATTGATAAGGCGCTATCAATTCGTTGACGA